AAAAGAAAGAGACAGGAAGGAAATAAGGTGTAAATAATAGTAAATCAGTTACCGTACCGTTGTCGATCCAGAGAAAAAAGGATGAGAAAAACCTGATATGGTAAGACGTTCACAGGTAAAAAAAATAAAAAGGGTGGAAAGATAAAAATGAAAGATATTTTTAAAGAGATAAATCGAAGAAGAACAAAAATATAGAAAAAGTAGAAGGAAATTTTTTTTTTTAAAAAAAAAGATGTCATCCATATTCTGTCCAGGAAATGATAAACGCTCATCCATGAATTGTGTGCGAAGTCAAAGAATGAAAAATAAATAAATGACCCGAACTGAAACGTCTTGTCTTCTCAAATGAACATTGCTTTTCTGATAACAACAACCTCAAGGATGTGGTGGGAGGGGGAGGGGCTGACAAACGGAAGAAGAAGAAGAAGAAGAAGAAGAAGAAGAAGAAGAAGAAGAAGAAGAAGAAGAAGAAGAAGAATATATAAAGCGAATGCGTGAGGGAGGGCAAGGCTGAACAAACTGAACTACGGCCACTACACATCTATTATTGCTATTATTAATTTTGTTTAGAGTAAATATTATCACTTCCCCACTCCACCGATTACAATCAACAACAGCCCTACATAACCCCCATCTACCCATCCACCCATCCACCCACAAACTGTTACCCACCCACCGCTATCATTGCCAGAGTTAGTATCTACAACCACAGTAACAGTGCCTATCACTACAACATCAACCATTAAAAGCATTTCTCACAACGGACTAGTACCACCATGACTACTACTACTACTATTATTAGCATACATTTCTCGTATTACTACTACGCCTAATAATAATAATAACAATACAAGCTAGCGAAAAGCAGAACGCGTCAACTATTTGTACTACTATTCATTACCTCGTGTAAAGGTATTACAACTGCAACCCTATAACTACAACTGCTGCTACTACCAGTACAGTTGCAATTGCTACGACTAATGACGGTAGATGATTCTGATTTTGCTCGATGGAACTAAAGTAGGCGCGTCCATCAGCGCGTTGGAATGATGAAGACGTCTGTGGTCATGAGGGATACTTCCTATATCTAAAACACACACACATACGCACACACACACACGCATACATACATACACAATCATATACATATCTATCTATCTATCTATCTCTCTCTCTCTATATATATATATGTATGTTTATATTTTTAAATATAAATAAATATATATATATATATATATAAAGTGATATATGTATAGGTATATATATGTATATATATATATATATATATATATATCACCTGAAAAAAAGAAAAGAAAAAATTAAAAAACCAAAAAAAAAAGGATAAAAATTGAAGCAAAGTGAAAAATATATATTTATTACATGTACCTACACATGCAATTCAAAGGATACATGCGATGTGCTACTTGTTATTTTAATTATTTACACACATAAAAGAATAAATGATTCACGAGAAAGCTACCGTGACAAATAAGGTAAAACTGCTCATACCTTAAAAGGAAAATTATATATATATATATATATATGCATGTATATGCATGTTATTAAATGTGTGTATATATATATATATATATATATAAACAACTTTAACATTTTGAAAAATCGGATACAAGCACCAGTATCTGTTGTTGTTGTTGCATACACTCCGAACTTAGATAAATGTAAACTATAAAAAAAATTAAAAAAAAATACTACAATATGACAAACACAATGAGGAGTAACTCATTAGTCCGTTTTCCTGTTTAAGTTTTCAATCGATTTGTCAATCTTTTATATACTCATATATATATATATATATATATATATATATAAAAATACACACACATACAAACGCACACACACACACATCTATATGCATATATATACGCATATATAAATATATATGAAATATTTATATGTGGATATCTATGTTTCATTAATTACATATGAGCAACTATTTTTTTAAGTGATTTATAGAAAAGATTCTTCGTTTGTTAACAACTTTAAGTAAAAAGCAAGTCATGTTTGTGTGGCGATTAACGATTAAACATACTCTCTCAGATGTGGCCAATGTGCGTATGCTAAGGTAAAGATTGTGTCATTACTAAATTTTATATATATATATATATATATATATATATATATATATATATATATATATATATATATATATATATTATAAAATATATATTAAATCATAACTTATATCACAGCATAAAAGTACATTTATATATGTGCATATATCTTTTCATTACTGCATTTCCCGTTCATAAATCATATCGTCATTTGCAGTTTTCAAAACTAGTCCCTAAAATTGGCAATGCTTTATTTATATGAATATACATACGTGTGTATGAATTAAGATTATAATACTACTATGTTAGTAGTAGCTGCCGATTTGTAAAAGCGTGCTCAAAACAAAGAGGCACATTTCTCTTTTTTTCTAGTTTCATCCCTTACTGTTCTGACCGGGAGAAAAATAGTATCTTACCTTCATTCATCA